TTATACCAAAATAGTCAGAAATAAAATAGCTATATAAAAATATTATAGAGGGCTGGGATTGTGGCTCAGCGGTAGAGCGCTCGCCTATCGCACGCGGGACCCGGGTTTGATTCGAAGCACCACATAAAAATAAAGGCATTGTGTGTGTCCATCTACAAAAAAGATATTCTCTCTCTCTCTCTCTCTCTCTCTCTCTCTCTCTCTCTCTCTCTCTCAAATAAATAAATAAAAATATTATAGAGAATTTTGGGTTACTTTCTTTTGGGGATGATTTCCTTTAAACCTAATATATACACAGCTACTCATTTTAAAATTCTAAATTGTGTAAATGAAATTCATTCCTTCTTATACTCAGGGGCACTTAGTGAATTTTTATCATGTATAAATACCTATCCTCGGTTTGTTGGAGGATTCAATAATAAACGATAATATGTTCCTTGTACTTGAGTTCACTTGGAAGGAGAGCACATGCTCAAAGGTCACCTAGACAACAAAGTTGTAAATATTAGAACAGAGAAAAGGATATTATAGGAAGCAAATGCCAGGGAGGTGAAGGTTATGAAAGTTCTACTCATTCTTTAAGGTTCAAAAGTCTCCCTTCCTGAAGAAGCTTCTTTCTGAGGTCCTATCTGCTAGGTGAGGACTCTGGTTATCATCTACCACAGAACTGCTCTTATTAAGAATCTGAGGGTACTTTCCTTGTCCTGCATTTTGTGTCATTCATTTTGGGTCCTGAGTGGATCTCAAAGCCATGTTTATTTGAGGAATTCCAGGCCATGTTCCCCTGCAGGAATGAGGAAGGAGAGGTGTGGAACTGGATAATAACACAGTCCAGACTAACGAGTGGTGGTAGGTGTGGAAGTGTGGGAAGAAGGGCTTCCCTGAGCCTGTGGGTGAATAGCAGCCATCGTTTGTCCTGGCTCTCCCAAACTGGGATCAAACAGCACCTCATTCTTCCCATCTTCATTTTGCAGGAAGAATTTTCAGTGAGAATGTTCACAAAGTATCAGAAATAGCAAGGTATCATGGTGAAAAGCATCAAAGAGGGAGCTCAGAGACCTACCCTAGTTCCAAGAAGCTCTGTTTTTAACTAGCTTCCTTCCTTCTGGCCTCAGTTTCAGAGAGTCAAACTATTCAATACCCAAAGTCCATATCTCCCTATAAATCAGAAAACACAAGGTTCCTGTGATTTTATATTGGATTTATTCCTCAGTCATAAGTCATAAATCAATGCCTGACCTTGCAAATACAAATTCTTCCCCAGTGTAGGAAATTAAAGCACTTAATTCTCTTATGGGGAGGTTGTACACTCTGAATGCTTGCAGGCAGTACTGTCTGGGAAGTTGAGGCAAAGGAAATGGCTCCAAAATCCCTCCTGGGATCTAAATGGAAAACAAAAGAGGCTATGACATCAGCTGCCATTTCCTCTGTGATCAGACCAAATAATATAAATAACAATATTAAATTATGTGTGCATATTTTATTTTTGCCTTTCATGGCAAATCCAAATACATCGGTTGTTCTTAGCCTTTAGTTCAAGGTTATGTACACAGAAAAGGAAAAATGAGCAAAAGTGAAGCATCTTAGAGCTGCAGGTGACTTTAAAGCTTAGGCCCAAACTTTTCATTATCCCAATGATGAAAAATAAAGGATGTAATATGTGAAACAGCTCAACACAATGTTGACTGCCTGAAGCAAGTTTTCTCAACTTGCCTCACCTAAACCCTCTGTAACTGGTCAATACCACCACCTATATGCCAAATACATGAATAAGCACATTTTTAAAAAGGCAACGAAAGGATCCTAACCTCTTTTAATGAATTTCCTTTATTACAACTAGAGAAGGGCATGCAAAGGGGGAAGGCCAAGTTTACCAGAATGAACATATCTGAGACAGAAAGTTCACCTTCCTAGACTGTATTCAGAACCAGTCTCTCACTCCAAGATACAGCTGCTCTACATTTCTATCCACTACCCTCCTCTGTCTCAAAAGGCAGGCAAGCACCAGACCTTTCTAAAACATTGTTGTGAGAATAAGAATAACTCTGCCTTTTAACAGGCTAGCGGTTTAATACATTATCTGCCAAGTTACTGGTACCTATTTAACCTAGAATTAGTTGAATAAAATTCAAAGTTTAAAAACCTGTTCTTTGAACAAGAAATCTGATTGTGGGTAGTTTCTCCCTTCTTTGGCTCCCTAAAAATCCAGGCAAGTTACTCAAAAGCATCTCAGTAAAGAAAATAATATGGTAGTTCCATAGGTGAATTGTTTATTTAAATTAGACCAGCATTAGGGTCTAAGTTAGAATCATATAATAAGAACATCAGAATAAGAACTTCTTCCTTCCCAATCTGTTTTGCCTCACCATTTGGATGGATCAGATGTGCCTTATTCTTCCTACAATGGCAAATGTACATAGTGGCTATTTTGCTCTCTGACCACATTGATGATATCCATACACTCCCAATCACTATGTCCTAGATGTCATGATTAGAATTCAAAATGCATATACTATTAGAACTGGAAGGAACTGTCAGGAACATTTAATCCTATGTCCTCCCTTTACAACTAAAGAAGTAAAGTTGTAGTGAAAAAGAGACTTGTTCCTTTTCACATGGACAGTGAGTGGTGGTGTCAGATCTAAGGACCATGTCTAAGGTTTTCCTGATCAAATTATTTCTGTGGCCCCTGCTGCTTCCCAGAATCAGCAAAGATTTTCCAAACATTCACAAATGGCTGACTGGAGGCTATTTCTTGGGTGTCAGCCTCTCCCATTCCAGAGCTGCCTGTGCTATTCCACTGCATGAATTATAGATGCAAAAGCTTACTTAAGTTTGGATAAGCAGATGAGTTCTTTTTCTCACCCAGTGTTTTTCATTCTGTCAATCATGAAGGTGGGTGGCAAAGCTTACAGTTATTAGTTGCCACAGTTAATTGATAAATTATAAATTATTGTTTTTAACTTATTAAAAATCCATTGTTGGGGCTGGGGTTGTGGCTCAGTGGTAAAGTGCTCACCTAGCATGAGTGAAGCACTGGGTTCAATCCCCAGCACCACATAAAAATAAAATAAAGGTATTGTGTCACCTACAAATATATATAAAAAATATGTTTA